GGCATATCGGGCCGGCTATGAACTTCGAGATGTGGGTTGGAAAAATTTACAACAAGCTATGGACCACATTGTACCATTAGATTTTCTGAAGGCTCGAATTCTTGAACTTGGTGTTGATAAAGAAGGTAACGTTAAACCGGGGATTGGAAGGTCGATGCTTGATTTAGACCATTGCATTCTATATTATTGCTGGCGTGATTATCATGATATATTGTTATTAAAGTATTATAAAATGTTGTTGCAACCTTGTGAAGATGGTAAACATAAAGAATTTTTAGATGGAAAAGACTGGTAGCATATACAATCAGAATTTATTATCGGTTTCAGATGTTGTGCTACCCAAACTCAGCTGCAAAGTCGTGTACGATTCATTTTGAAAAATATGTAATGCAAAGAATTATGTATTTTTAGTAACATAATTTTGTCAAGACTTTATTAGTGTATTATAACTCAACTTCTAATTTCTTGTATTAATGAGACTTTTTGTCCTCCATTCCATCTTTAATTAGTCAATTCTATTTAACTTTAAATTTTTTTTGACAACTTATTTTGCATTATCTAAATATATCATACTTACTTTAAATTAACTTATTTTTAAAATAACAATAAAACTATTTTATTTAAATATTTAAATTATTTTTTATTTAAAAATATTAAATAACTTTAACGACTACAACTAATAAATTTATTAGTTTTAACAATTCATATATATAATATAATTTAATATTATACAAAATTAATATATTACTCATACATAATTTAAAAATTTATAAATTAACATACTTGATAATTTAACTTAAATACTTTAGTAATGAATTTTAATATTATTTAAACTATATTAAATTTAATTGTTATAATTATGATTAATAATATTATAATTATGAATAATAATTTTATTTCAATTAATTTTTAATTTTACATTAAAAATTCTTTTTTAAAAATTATAAATAACATTTACATATTTCAATTTCTCATCAAATATAATTTTTTAGAAAACCTAAGTCATCTTACATCTAATTCCTGCTATTTATAACCAATTTAAAATTTTATGCTCCCTTTTAAATTTTAAAATTTTTATGCTCCTGCCTAGTATATTACTTTAAAAAATAAATTTTTTTTTGGCCAAATTTTCGGAAGCAGCTTGGTTGTGGCAGATTTTAGGAGAAGCAGCGTGTTTGTGAGAGAATTTGAAAACAAGCCAATACGCCGAAGATGTCCGCGCATACATAGAATGCGCGTATATAAACGGCGCATTCAAAGAATGCGCCGAAACGTTGCGCGCATTCTTTGAATGCGCCGAAACGTTGCGCGCATTCTTTGAATGCGCCGAAACGTTGCGCGCATTCTTTGGATTGCGCTGAATGATCAGGCGCATTCTACTCTGCATTCACAAATCCTCTTCCGTTCCCCGTTTAAAATGCTTTTCCTTGTTTTCACATTCGATTTCGCAATATGATTGGGCATTGTTTTTAGTGAACTGGTATCTCAATAAAAATTTCAGTGTAATTGAAATCATATTAGTGTATATTATATAATCTATTAGTTTTTTATAATATTTTATTATGGATTCAAAAGTAATAATCGTAAATCTTAAAAAATTGTAGTAATATCAATTTATATCCTAAATGAAATTTTAATTTGATAAAATATTTAAATGTTTAAACTTTTATTAGATTTAAATTTTTTCAGATTTTTTTACTGGAGGCCAAATTTTCAGAAGGAGCATGTCTGCTATTTAGGCCGACGCATATCTGCAAAATTTATGTAAATTTTAAATTATTTTAGAATTGTTAGTTATTTTTAATTATATTTTTAATTTAAAAAGAAATGAAAGATATTAATCTATGTATTTTGTATTTGAAAAATAATTGTAATATTAAATATATGGATTATTAAATAAAATAAATTTAATAGTTTTAATCAGTAAAATTTCAAAATTTTTTAATATTATTTTTTTTTTAAAAATAGCTAAAAAATAATTTAAAAAGTTTTTTTTTAATTTAAAAATATGGTAATAATTTTATAAAGAGATTAAAATAAAGTTATTTAAATATTAAAACTAAATTATAAATAATTGAAATTTTTTTTAATATTTATTTAATTTTAGATTTTTTAGTTAAATTTTAATTATATTATAATTTTAAATTAAAATAATGAAAAATATTGACAAAAATTAGTATGATAAGATTATAAATATGAATTTAAGTTATAACCCTATAAACTTTATTAACTTGAATATTAATATAATTTAATATTTAATTTTTAACCATAATTAGAGAATATAAACTTAATCAATTTTAAATGATATATTTAAATAAATTTAAAATATGTAATTAACGTTTAATAATTAGTACTTTTAATTTTTTTTAACGTTTATTATTTAATTATAGTTAATATGGATAATGATTACAAAGCAAATATACCTTAATATCAATATATTAATTATTGGAATGGGAATATTACGAAAAGTAATTAAAACCAGTTATTGAAAATGCATGTTAAGTTCATTACTAGAAGGAAGTACATATCATTAGAATTAGAGGAAAGATAAAGAAATTATAACTACGAGCGGCTTAGTACAATGCGCATACGTGCTTGGAGTTTATATATATATACCAACACTTTGATAAGGTTTTAAGTCCCTCCTTTAAAGTGAGATTGAAATGATTTTTTTGAATCCTCACTTTGAAAATATGCCAACAAACCAACTTCTTATCAATATTTCTAGCCCACACATAGAAATTTGTTAAAGTTATCCTAAAATGACTATAGGTTCTCTCATTATTATAAAGGAGACTGTAAAGGAACCTTTATTTATTTATTTAATCAATCCTTACAATATGTTTTACTTAAGCTAACCATAAGGAAGACCACTTTCAAGTTCAACCATGCTTGGTCTTAATGGATACAAAAAAATGGCATTGGCACTCAACTTCCTTCTCTTTTTGATCAATTATTTAAAAGTGTTGATATATCATCAAGAAATTAAGTTGCAAAATTCAAAAATTAAATTTGGGATCATTTGAACTTCCATTTCAGCAAATTTACAATCAAACTGATCGTCTCGGAAATACGAACCCAACGACACCAAATTCAACACAATCTGAGCCCAAATGGGTATGAATAATAGGCCCGAAGCACGTTCGGAAGGTTCAATCCATAGTTTGGATTACCAAATAGTTTACAAATATGACATGCTTATAGTTGAATAGAGCTGCTCGACAAGAAAAATCCAACAAGCCCAAGATCGTCAAATTCTGATATCATTAATAACTTCAAATGTCTGACAAACGGTCCACGATTAAGGGATTCAATATTGGCCATCCATTTAATCCACTCCCCATTTGCCCTTGATCCACCTCCTATTTACGGGTCCACAAAAAACTATAAATTGCCCCTCATTTCTCTTAAGAGAGTAATGAAGAAGGAAGGAAGAAGAGGAGAATAGAAGAATAGGAGGAAAGAAACTCCTTCTCAACAACTGCCGAAATTCTGCCAGACTTCCAAGTGACGCTGGAGTTCTGCCCGACCTCCAAGTGACGCTGATGTTTCACCCGAACACTAAGTGATGCCAGAGTTCTGTCCTATCTTCAAGTGATGCTAAAGTTCCACCTGAACTTCAAGTGACGCCGAATTTTCGCCCAACTTCCAAGTGATGCCAAAATTTTGTAGCACTTCCACTGACACCGGAGTTCCGTCTGACTTCCAAATAAAGTCAAAACTCCACCCGATCTCCGAGTGACTTTGGAGTTCTGCCCGAATACCTTCTAACATTGGGGTTCTCATCGGCCGCCAACTAACGACGAATTTTTACCTGATACCAGACCTCCTCTCATCACCAAGATTCTATCCGATGCTGGACTTCTGCCTGTTATCAAAATTTTGTCGGAAATCTATCTGATGTTGAATTTCTATCCATTGTTGTACTCTTACCTGACACCATCCATCTGACCTCTGTCGTTAGACAACAGTCCTTTCGACCTCCATAGCCCGCCGACTATGGTCCTTCTGACTTACGTCACCCACCGACTAATAGTTCTTCTGACCTCTGTCGCCTGTCGACTATGATCCTTCTGACTTACATCGTCCACCGACTACAGTCCTTCCTACCTCCGTCACCGGCTGACTATGATCCTTCTGACTTACGTCGCCAACCGACTGCAATCCTTCTAACCCCCGTCGCCTGCCGACAACGGTCCTTCTGACTTACGTCGCCCACCGACTATAGTCCTTCAACCTCCGTCGCCCGTCGACTATGATCCTTCTGACTTACGTCATCCACCGAATACAGTCCTTCCGACCTCCGTCGCCGGCCGACTACGGTCCTTTTGACTTACGTCACCCACCTACTACAGTCCTTCCGACCACCGTCGCCCACCTACTACAGTCCTTCTGACTTTGTCGCCCACCGACTATAGTCCTTCCGACCTTCGTCACCCACCGACTACGATCATTCCGACTTACGTCGCCCACCGACTGCAATCCTTCAAAATTTCTTTTCAGCAGAGAGTTTTGGCAAAAGATTTTTTTTTAAATGTTGAAAGAGTGATTGAGTTCGAAAACAAAAGCGTTTTCTCTTTATTATTCTTTATTTTATTATTGTTATTCTTGTTATATTATCAAGAAAAAGAAAATCAAATTGGATAAACAATAAATGAAAAAAAAAAATCTATGAATTGGGCTCTTTATCTCTGCAATATATATTATTTATTAATTTTTATTTTCATACAATTTTTTCCTCTTAATTTATCATTATGCATCTTACGTCATAGTTATGAATAAAAGTGTACATAAAAAACTTTCATCACATATTGGACAAGGAAGCAATTAAGTACATGAAGAGGAATAAAATTTCTTGCTCTTGAAGCAGTCAAACTTGGCTGCTTGAATAATCTATTAAAATTAAAAAATATATGGACAAATTAAAAATCAAAAGTACCACAGCCTTCCCATCATATTACACAACCATTCAATTATTTAAACTTAGATGGAGAAGCCTCCTCACTTGAAAGAGGGACAAGTACGAGAAGCTCATCGGATGGCATCTCTTTCAATTTTTTTTTGGTTTGATTTTTTTCTCTTTCTCTAAAATAACCTCCACACTATAAAGAGGGACGAGTACGGGAAGCTCATAGGATGGCATCGTTTTTCAAATTTTTATTTTGTTTGATTTTCCTCTCTTCCTCTGAAATCACGATGAGCCAAGGCAAAGGAAGTTGCTCATCATCTTGCGGAAGCCTTCAAAACATTAAGTATCCTTTCCACCTGAGAGGTGATCCAACTGAATGCGGTGGTTCTGATTTTGAACTCAATTGCGAAGGCAACAATGCGGTAATAGAGATCCACCGAAGTAAGTATTATGTCAAAGAAATATCATATCGTGATTCTAAAATCATGCTTGTTGATGTTAATTTGGCACATGGAAACTGCAATCTTCCAAGTGGATCAATATATCCAGGTGATTATAAGAAAACATTCTGGCTTGACAGGGGGGGTTTACATGTTCAAGATCAAGCTACATTTATTAACTGCTCAATGAAGATCAATAGTCCAAATTATGAAGTTATGCCTTGTCTCAGCAATAACAACTCAACCATCTATGTGATATTTAATGCTTTATATGTTGGGTTACTTGAAACGAATTGTCAATTTCTATTCACAATTCCTATGACCATAAACTCTAAACTTAGTATGTTTGATCAACTAAAACAAGGTTTCAGGCTACATTGGCATCCTCCCATCAATTCTGTGATAGATGCTATAAGCTACTGTGGTCAAAGTGTTGGTCGGTAAGTATCCAAACTATCACACATGCTAACTTCCTATTATCCATCTTTTAAACTTTGTTTCATAAATGCAGTCTCCTTTGGGGTGGTAGTATTCAATCAAGATGGTATAAAGAAGAAATGGGCAATGCATTTTATTACATGACATCGCCAATCCGTTTTGAAATTGAATTCTTGTCATGTCTCAATGAAGCGGAATACAATGATTCGATTTTAACTTTCTATGCAGCAATAATAATTTTCTCAATATTGGGCATAACACTCTTAATTCTAGGTAAGAACATGCTTTCACTTAAAAAATGGAATTACTAGAATATTAAATTGATGAATAAATTACATTTTTTTGCAGTTTTGTTAATGTTTGGAAGGCTTTTATTTGCACCATTCTGTGTTCTATCATTCCTTGCATACAACTTATTCAAGCTTATCAAGCCTGTTGATAGCGTTGAGAGGTTTCTACAAAATCAAAAAGCCCTATCACCATCAAAATATTCATACAATGATATTATCATTATTACAAGCAACTTCAAAGAGAAGATAGGGCAAGGAGGCTTTGGGTCCGTCTATAAAGGAAGGCTCCCTGGTGGTTATTTAGTAGCTGTGAAGATGTTGGGAAAATCCATGGGTGATGGAGAGGATTTTATTAATGAAGTATCTACTATCGGTAGGATTCATCATGTAAACGTACTGCAACTTGTTGGATTTTGTGCTGAAGGATCATATAGAGCACTGGTTTATGAGTACATGGCTAATGGGTCTCTTGATAAATACATTTTTACTTTTGACAAGGCAAAAAGAATCCTCAACATGGACAAGCTTCTTGAGATTGCCTAATCTGTGGCCAAGGGACTTCATTACTTACACCAGGGGTGTAATATGGGGATTTTGCATTTTGACATCAAACCTCATAATATCCTTCTTGATCATAAATTCACACCAAAGATCTCTGATTTTGGCTTAGCAAAGTTACACCCTAAGGGTCGTAGTCTTGTCACAATTAGTGCTGCTAGAGGAACAATTGGATATATTGCACCAGAATTAATATCGAGAAGTTTTGGGACTATATCTCATAAATCAGATGTATATAGTTTTGGGATGCTTCTAATGGACATGGCTGGTGCGCGTATGCATGCTGACCTGAAAGCAGATGATTCTAGTCAAGTTTACTATCCTTCATGGATTTATGATAAGCTAAACAAGATGGAATTGTCTAAAAACTTTGGCATTTTTGGGATTGATGATTTTGAGAGGAAACTATGTAAGGTTGGTTTGAGTTGCATTCAGACACGTCCTGTGGATCGTCCTTCCATGATTAATGTTGTGGAGATGCTACAAGCTAATGTGGATTCCATAGAAATGCCGCCAAAGCCATTCTTCTCTTCTTCAGATCCAGTGCCTTCAATAGACATTTCTATGGATTACTCTAAATCTGAACTATCAATTATTTTAGAGAATATATAATCCTTGCGAAAGGTGTATCACTTTTGAGTATGTACCACAAAATTTCATTATGGGTTTTTTTTTTATATAATATATTTTATATTCTATTAAATCATTTGCTAAATCTAAACTCGATGAGGATTATCATTAAAAGGTGCATGGTTATATAAATTTTGATGCAACCATTCAATATAATAAACAATTTTTTTTTAGAAATGATAAATAAATATTAAGATAATCTATTTTTTTTCGGAGAAAATACAATTCAATGCTAATAAATAATTTATGTCATGGTACTCAAATAATGATAAAAATTATTGCAAGGGAATGCTACACATTTGACTGAAGATCAATAACTCTCAATACTAATAAAAAAATAGAAATAAGAAGGGAAATAGTTAAAAAAACATATCAAAATCTCATACAAAAAACCGATCCCAAAATTTTCAAATACTAAGATTCATCAAAATTTTAAAAAGAAAATGATTTACACATCCAAAATATAATTTTTTATTGAAGATAAATTATTTTTATTACATGCTCCAATATCATCTATAAACAATAAATTATCAAAGTCCAATTACAACAAAAAAGAGCCCTAATATTACACAAATAACTACAAATAAGCTCTCATGAGCAACATGTATTACAAGTAATGAAATCAAAAAATATAAACCACATAATCACAATTTAAAAAATACAAGACTCCAACGTTTAAATTTTAAATATAATTCAATTAGAATATCTAACTTTATGCAACAAGATCAGTTCATCTACACAAACAAGCTGAATTATAGATAATAATTTTCAGACATTGAAAGAATAACAAAGAGAAAAATATCTTACATGCATTTTATAACTGGCACTACCGAAAATTGATTGATTTTTGTCAGTCTTTTCCATCACAATTCAACAAATTTCTATCTGAATAATTCATTTCTTGCGGATTTCTGACCGAAAGTTTTTTCGCCAGTAAAACTCACATAGGAAAAAAATACCGGCAAAAAAATTTGCCGGAAACATTTCCTACAAAAATTATCTTAGGAAAAAAAAAAATTCTTGGCACAACTCATGTTTATTCCTTCATTCTAATTCTACCTACCAAACCCTGCCTACTTGTGCTCACTCGTGCGGTAGCAGTATACAGTAAATTGGTGAAGTTGAGCATTCTTCTTTGTCTTCGGACCGCGTCTGGTTACCGCACATAATAATTTCGCTTTCCGGTGACATCATGTAACCAAAGCCTCATTGGCTACTGCTAGTGCCTAATCCCATCAATGCTTACATCAACTTAATCAACATTCAATAAAAATAAAATAATATATTTTTTAACATTTAAAAAAAATATTTCATGTTAAAATATAAATAAAAAAAATGATAAAAAAATAACTCTTTAAAAAATTGTCATTTTATCCAATTTTTGCATTAAGAAATAAAAAAACATGATTGAAAATTACTTTTTAAAAAATTTTCATTTATCCAATTTTTGCATTAAGAAATAAAAATAACATGATTGAATAAAATCTCATATTCTAATTTTTGAATAAAATCTCATATATATATATATATATCCAAATTCTCAATTAAAGTTGCTCTTTTCTTATTCATTTAGAATTTATTTCCCCTTTAGCTCCATCTATATTCTCTTTATCACTTAAACAAAAACGTCATTAGATATATACAGATTCAATTATGTATGCAATATATGATTATGAATGCAACCTAATATAATGTGTGCAATACATGTTCTTGTATGCAAGACATAACCCCATTTCTGCTCCACTCATAATCATTCCTACATCTCTTATTAAAGTTGCTCTTGTCTTTTATGTTATCTATCATTGGTCATATGTATCATCTGTTATTGATCTTATATGCTATTTATCATTGGTGATATGTATTATCTATCATATGCATTATCTATCATCTATCATCTACTAAAGATCCTATTTGTCATTTATCATTAGTCATATCTATCAATTAAAAGTCATCACTCATATAAGTTATCAGTCATCTATTCAGTTATATATTACTTAGTAATCTTCTCAACAATATTAATATCAATCTCATTAGTCTTATATAGTATATTAATTAATTAATGTTTCTTTTTCTTATACTCATTCATATCCTAGATAACATAATAACAAACAGCATGTATAAATAATGTGTAATTATCATAATTTATAATTCAATCTAGTGCTCATAGATATACATGTATTATGTCAAAATTCATATTATGCCAAATGAACAATTATCATATGCATATTATGTATATCATATCCAAATTAATTACATTTGCATATGATCATTTTAAACTCAATATTTACCTACTAATTTAAATTAAAGTGCCATAGATGCCAACGTAGTCGGTGATAGTTTTATATAAACCAAAGTATTTGGCAAAGTTTAATAAAGCATCCTTTTGCAAGAGTTAATTGTGACACCATAATTTTGATGTGAAATACTCTATAAAGGGAGAAAAACTAGGGGGCTTTGGCCAGCTGAAATGAATACACTAGTTTTTGTTGTTAATTATAAGTGATGCCCTTCTTTGGGGGAATGCGTTGGCTCAATGCAGTAAATATACATCACAAAGTGCACTTTATATGGTTTGGGGGGGGGGGGGGGGGGGGGGGGGGGGGGGGGTGGAGTTTGATATGTAATTGGGCTATGCAGCCAATGATGTGAGCTACACAACAAGCTACCGTGTAAAGTTAATAGGCTTAGATTTTCTTTGATATAAAATAATGAAAGCCCCACTAAATACATAAGTATGCATACCAATCAACTAATAAAGTGATAGAGAAGATTGTCAATCCTATAAGAAAGTATTCATCTTAATTGTAATTAAACTACCACTATTTAATCTTAATGCACAATTTATCTTACTTAATATAAATGTATATATTTGAATTTTTTTGCCACTAAATGGAGACTTACAAGAAAATTATATACTAATAAAATAAAGTGTTTTGGACTAATGAATACAAAACAATATAAATTTTTTATGAGACTCTTAATTTAAGATGTTGATCAGAGCATACACATCCCTAGATATCTATCGAGCTTATAGGGTGTAATGAAAGGTTTATGGCCTTCCTATAATTATTTTATCTCCATAGAACCTCGAATTTTTGACATCCTATGTCTAAGTATGACAGTATTCCATTTCAATACTTCTATTTATTTCAATATTCTTTCATTAAGTAAATACTTAATACTAGATATAACTACATATATGACTATTATATGGATTAAATTAAGAACATGAGATATTAAAAATATCTATAAAGTAATTTAAAACACAAGTGTCTACATTAGGACTTGCTTTATGCTTACATCATTAGGGAAAAAATTATAGAATCAGCCAGATATGGATTACACAAAAAGAAAATTCAAGTTCATACCATTCATATAAGAAAAAGGTAAATGAGAATTAATAAGATAATTATCACCAAAAAAGATCAATTGATAATCTCCACACTCTTTCCTCTAACAACAGAGCTGCTTACATAATACATGCTAAGATTATCCAATGAAAGTATCTTTTGCACTTTTGAAGCCTCTCTTAGACTTTACTCTAAGGAGGAATTAGAGGAAGACTCTCAAAAGTAAAAGTCTCAACTAAAATAATAGAACTCCTTTAACAAAATAACTAAAAAACTATTTATACAAGTATAAAAATAAACTCAGGCACCACGAAGCTCGACATGATTGCAGCATGGTCATATAAAATGAACTGGCACCTCAGCATTGTTATGCTTGCTCCATTGTAGCACCGGGCTGACTTGGCTGCTAATGGTTGAAGTGGGGCATATTTTGGTTGAGTTAGTGTGTCTCCTCAATTTCGTAAACGCTCCACCATGACATTAGAAAAGTCGTGTGTTGCGGTGCTTAAAAGTTTAATTTGACACAACATTGTTAAATTTTTTATACTCCAATGCTCATATTCTCGAAACTCCCAAGCCGTCGTACTTATTTCTAGCACTGAGAGGCACTGAGGTGCTAGCACTGCAGTGCTGATCTTATCTTCACAGTGGCACTAATTTTTCTATAATTTTCCTTAGAGGTCAGCATTGCAATGTCTAAGAAAAGCACTAGGGCATTTGTAGTTAATGATGTTGCAGTGCTGGATCTGTGGGTGCTATGGCGCTCATTTAATACTTATGAATATTTTCTTTCTCCTAAATATTTTTTTTCTTAAATATAACTAAAATAACATATTTTTAAATAATTTTAACACAATATAAATTCACACATTTTTACTAAAATTTAAGGCAATGAATAATACATAATTTAAACTTAACAATGGAGTGTTTTTTAAGAGAGTATAGGCCTACTTATTTAGTTTATGGGAATATATTTGGGCAATAAAAATTTGATGGATCATTATTAGGTGAAAGCGGTCAAAAAGACTATAGTCGGTGAGTGATTGAGGTCAAAGAGATCGTATTTAATGTGCGATAGAGGTTAAAGAGACCGTATTCAATAATCAAAGGTGGTCGGAGAGATCATAGTCAGTGGGTGATGATGGTAAGAGGAACCATAGCTAATGAGTGATGGAGGTCAGAGGGATCGTAATTAGCAGGCAATTGAAGTTAGATGGATGATAATTGGTGGCCACGGAGGTCAGAGGGACCATTATAAATGGGTCATGGGAGGCCATAGGGATCGTAGTTGGAGGGTGATGGAGGTCCAAGGGACCACATTTCTTGCACGATGGAGGTTTGAAGGACTGTAGTTGGCGAGGGATAGAGGCTGGTGGGACCATAGTTGTTAGGAGACAGAGGTCATAGGGGCTATAATTGGTGGGTTATAGAGGTCAGAGGGACCATAATCAATGGGAATGGAAGTAAGAGGGACCATTCTTTACAGGTTATGGGAGGTCAGAGGTATCATAGTTAGTAAGAGATGGAGGTCAAAGAGACCATAGTCAACGGGTGATTGAAGGTCTGAGGGACTGTGATCGGTTGGTTATGAAGGTCAGAGGGACCATGGTCAGTGGGAGAACGAGATCAGAG